TTTAAGAGCTAAAATTTACATAGATACAAGTGACCTGTAGAATTGCCATGAGCCTGTGGATTGTATCATATTTCATTTTATATACGGCACAGTGGACTGCATAACTTTTTATTTATATAGCAGCAAAGTTATAAATAGTGCCAATTATAGTCATAAAATATCATGGCAGAGATTTTAGCAATGCTAAAATGTGAAATAAAGAGTAAGGTAGACACAGTGACACTGACCTACAATCCTACCTACTGGGAGGATTACCAAGTTCAAGGCCATCTTGGGGAATATAGTTTTAAAATATTGTAAACATATTTGAATAAAAAAATTGTGGAGCCGGGCGGTGGTGGCGCACGCCTTTAATCCCAGCACTTGGGAGGCAGAAACCCTGTCTCGAAAAACCAAAAAAAAAAAAAAAAATAAAATATCACTAAAATACCATTTCAGCCTGAGATTCTGTTTGCCTCAATTTACGTGCACGAGGCCAGCCTGGGCTACCAAGTGAGTTCCAGGAAAGGCGCAAAGCTATACAGAGAAACCCTGTCTCGAAAAAAAAAAAAAAAAAAAAAATTGTGTCTTCAGAGTAGGTAGAATTCTGTTATTTCTCTTCATTGAAATATTGTGTTTGTTATCAGTGGGAAAACTAATCATTATTGTATCCACCAAACACTGACTGTCAGGTGCTAGAAGCACTTGTCCATCCTCTTGAAGACATGAATTGAAGCATCACAGTAGCACGATGTAAGATAGCTACAGTGTTGAATCCCCATCCTGTGCATGGGGAAATTGAGTTATGGAGTGCATAGGAAGCCTAATATATAACATATAATATTGCCAATTATAGTCATAAAATATCATGAATTATAAGTGGCAGAGATGTCAGCGATGCTAAAATGTGATATAAAGAATAAGGTAGGCACAGTGGCACTGGCCTACAATCCTACCTACTGAATACTACTATATATAATATATAACTAGTTTATAACAGCAATTAGAGTAGGATTTAAATCCAAGCTGAATTCAGTCTTTTGGGTGTTCTGTTATGTAGATGCACTGCTTGGAGGAAGGATGAAACTTGTGATAGAACACTTACCTTAAATGGGACAGCCATGCACTATATCCCTAGAACAGCAAATGAACACTTGTGTAGAGAAATAAGTAAATAATAAAATTTCAGTTACTTCTCTTACATCAGAAGGAAATGAAGTTTGCTATCTAGTATTTATATTTGAATGTGCCTCTATATGCTAATCTGTAATTTCCTAAAATGTCCTTTCAATTTTTAGACATCACTCCATTATGCCTGTGCACACAATCATCCAGACGTGGTAGCATTGCTATTATCCAAAAAGGCCTCTATTGATGTCCAGGATGATGAAGGCTGCACACCCTTGATTAAGGTAGCTATTGGACAACAGTTTTGGTATGAATTGGATTAGTTCTTGTCCTTGTTTGGGTTTTTTGTTACTATGACAAAACACTGACCAAAACAAACTCGGGAAAGAAAATGTTTATTTGGTGCACAATTCCACATCACAGTCCATCAGGAAGGGAAACCAGGGCAGGAGCTCAAATCAGGAACCAGAGGCAAGAACTGAAGCAGAGATCATGGGGGCAATGCTGCTTTTCCATGGCTTTTCCCAGGGCTTGCAGCTTTCTTATACTACTTTGGACTACCTGCCAAGCTGTGCAAACACCTCTAGGAAGCGGTGCCCTCCCACATCAACCTCAATCAAGAAAATGCTCCACAGACTTTCCCACAGTCCAGTCTGATAGAGGCAATTCCTCAAGTGAGAATCCCTCTTTCCAGGGGTCTTCAGCCTGTGTCAAGTTAGCAAAACAAATGAACAAGCAACCTCCCTCGCTATAACAGCAACCAACTAGTGCTGATGAGATGCTTTAATATCTAGGTGTAGTGGTACACTCCTGAAATTCTATCACTTGGAAAGCTTTGGTGGGGAGATTATGAATTTAAGCAAGACTAGGGTACTTAAGAAGACCCTGTCTCAAAAGAGGGAAAATATGCATAAGCTGAGCAATTTCTCTGATCTAAGTGAAATTATTCAATGCAATTTTAGAAATATTTATCTGGACTTTCTTGAATTGAAGATCTCTTTCTTTATACAATACCAACAGGCCACACAGAAGGACAATGAAGAATGCGTAACTATATTACTGTTTCAGGGTGCTACTCCTCACCTGAGGGATTTATGTGGGAATACAGCCCTGCACCATGCCATTTCCAAAGACAACACAACAGTTGCCAGGAAACTGCTAGACTACAATGCAGATACTGAAGCAAAAACTGAGGTAAAGCCCCTTCAACGTCATCCCCAATGTACTTCCAACAATGACGCTCAGATCCACCTATCACATGCCAAAGCTCAAGCAGTCTCAATAAATCTGGTCAGAGTAAAACATTTTTCTCCTAAAATGTTTTTTACATTTTTATACATAGTTTAAAGGAACACAGCACAGCCTATTTTGTTTCAGAATTGGGCTTAATTTTAAAATTAAATAAAAGATTTGCCCCCTGCCACACTTCACATACACACAAACAATAAAAATAAATTAATTTTAAAGTTAAATGTCTGTAGAATTAAAAGATTTTTGTTGAAATTAAGAAGTTACTGATGTGGTTTGTCTCTCACAGATAAGGCTGGAGTGGAAAATTAAAAAGGTCACAGGCACACAGGCAAATTTGATCATTGAAGAAAAACCTACCAAGAAGACATTTTTTTTTTTAATTTAACATGTTCAAATTTTCTATGTACGTAGAAAATGCTATTCATGCTGTGAGATAATAATTCTCAGTTTAGGGAAAAGTAGTTTGGAAAAACAGACTGAGAAACTGCTCCAGAGGGGCCAGTTGAGCTCACTCATTGAACAAGGCACACCAAACCTAGATGCCACGAGATAGGGTTGGGGCAATGGAGGCACATCTCCATGGAGCTAAGAAGCCTGGAACCAGTGAGTGTTTGTGGAGAGTTCTGGAGAGGAGTTGTGCTCACAGGCAATGTTGGAGAGGGCAGTGGTGTGTCAAAAGGAAGGGTTCAGCTGTGTGTGTGTGTGAACCTGCAGCAAGGGATGGAGAAAATCTGTCCTTTGTGACTCATTGTTTACAGAGTCTGTGATTAATTTTCAGTTGAGAAGCATGTTGGTTTATAAAGTATATTTTTTTTCTTTATAGTGTGGGCTGACACCTTATAAACTTGCCTTATTTGAAGAAAAACACCATATGGCACAGTTTTTAATGCAGAACGATGCAAATACACATTCAGAGGTTGAGTCCAATAGGTACTGTTTCTTCTTTTTTACAATCTTGGTGCTGTTCTTGAGAGTGACAGTTGCTTAAGTAAGGAACACTAAAATGATAGGAGGAAGATTGGCTTCAACTCAGAGACCCACAGTGAGTGTGAGCTGGAAAAGGGACTGTTCCAACCAAACAAAAAGAACAGTGTGCATCAGGACTCAATTTCCCATAATCTGATTTGATTGGGGATTGTCAACTAGTTAAGGAAAACATATTAATGTTTTTACTTTGAAAAGTTCCAACTTTAATTATTTTTAACAGTGAAATTTGTAATTATTTCAGTATTTTCATTGCTTCTTATATATTTTGCTTTAAAATGCTCTGTTCAGCATAGTTTTTGAAAATCATGTTGTCTCTTTGATCACTCATTCTACTTGAAAGGGCTTTTGAGCAATCATGACAATTAAATGTGATTACCAGATAGCATACTCATGGAGTATCTAATATCACCGTGAATGTCCCCAACATACTTGTATGTTTTAAATTGACTTATTTTAGTTGTTTAAATGTTTTGCATGCATTCTTTCTGTGTAGCTTGTGTTTGGGAAGGCCACAGACATCCAAGATGGCTTTGGATCCCCTGGAATTGAGGTTCCAGATGATTAACAGCCAATATGTGGGTCCTGTGAATCAAACCCAGGTCCTCTACCAGAGAAAAATGTCGTACACACTACTGAGTCATCTTTCCAGACCCCAGAATGAATATGTTTGTTATGCACATGATCATAAGCAAAGGCCATGATATCATTAGTAGAAATAATTAGCCAGCCCCATGGTCTTTGCTGATATCCTGGAGCCTAGGTCTCATCACCCTGCCAGTTTCACACACTGAAGAGAACTTATACTAGGAAGAACATGAATAGGAGGCTGGACATGTTGGTACACTCCTCTAAATCCCTGCATTCATGAACCTGAGGCAGGCTGGTCTCTGTGAGTTCAAAGACACCCGGTCTCAATTTATTTGGTGCATGGGGGAAGGCAAGAACCATGTTTGCCACAGCAGAAGACTGGAGGTCCAAGGATAATTTAGAGGAGTCAGTTCTCTCCTCTCACCATTTCAGTCTCAGGGATGAAATTGGAGTTGTCAGTCATGCTGGCAAGTGCCTTTATCAGATTAGCCCTCTGAGTGGCCCTGTGATGTATGCTTTGACTGAAAACATATTAGCATTAATACACACACACACACACACACACACACACACACACACACACACACCTGGCCACACACCAAAAAAAAATAAAAAGAAAAGAAAACAAACCAAGGAAAATGAAACCACACACCAACAGTCCAGTGCCAGCAGATAACTCTACTTGCAGGCATAATGACCTGGGATCCATCCCAGAGAACATAATTACCAGTAAACAGCTTGACTACATCACACATGTTGAAGCAAAACCCAGGGAAAGATCATTCAACATCATCCCCATTGTACTTCCACCAATGACACTCAGATCCACATATCATAAGTCAAGGATCAAGCATTCTCAAGGAAACTGTTCAGAGTAAAACACCTTTCATCTACTCTGTTTTTCATCTTGGTATACATAACTTAAAGGAACACAGCACAGCCTATTTTGTTTTAGAAGGAGGCTTCTTTTGAAAATCAAACAAGTAAAGATATGGGGCCCATACACACTTCACATGCACAACAAACAAGAGAATTAATTTCCAAAACCAAGGAAGTTCATCCTCTACCTTTCAATTGTAGGAGAGTGAAAAACAGCTTGTCTCCTGGATATTGAGATCTCCACTTTAAAGAAGATCAAAAGTGCAAAGGACATATCTTCTCTTCATGAGGTAATAACTGATATCTGCAAAGAAAAAATATATATTTACTGGTAATTCCCACTAATTTGACATGTAACATATTTGCATGTCAGAGGAACAATGCCTCTGTGTTCCTATGTCTGCAGTATTGCAAATAGTGTCAGAGAAGAGGAACCCAGCCTGGAACATTCCTTCACCTCCTTCATATGCTCACTTCTAGGAACCCACAAGCTAATCACCCTCTAAGGCATTAGTTCTCAACCTTCTTCAGGCTGTGACCATCTGATGCCCTTCCTCAAGTTGTGCTGACCCTCCACAGAAAATTATTTTCCTTGCTATTTCATAACTGTTATTTTGCAAGTGTTATGAATTATAATGTCAATATCTATGCTTTCAGAAGGTGTTAGGTGACCTCTTTGAAAGACGGTCCTAGGATTTCCCAAGTGGGTCACTACCCACAGGTTAAGAACCACTGTTTTCATAGGCATGTGATAGTAAATTAGACTATGGAGACAAACATCAAAAAGTGTGCTACTTGCATCTGAGAGACAAGAACATATTACAAATACAGAAAATAAATATTAGAGAATCATGCAGTAGCTAATGTCAACAGGAATGTACCCAACATACTTTGTATGTCTTCAATTGATTATTTTAGGTTTTTAAATATTTCGCATGCTTTCTTTCTGTGTAACTGGATGTAGGCTGGTCACAGATACCCAAGAGGGCTTTGGATCCCCTGGAATTGCAGTTCCAGATGATTGTGAGCCAAGATGTGGGTGTAAGTAAACTGCAAAAACTGTGGGTTTTGTGTCACAGGTTTCAACACCAGAATGTTAGTAAATTGATGGGTTTAACTGCAAGGAGACATTTTAGACCTAGAGGGTGAGGTATCCAGGACAGCTGGAGCTACTCAGACAAGAGCTCTGCCCTGTCGGTGTCCTGAACTCCTGAAGCTGTTTAGCACTGTAATGGCTGAACTGAAAACAGTTCAGCCCTAGAGGGTGAGGTATCTTGGACACCTTGAGCTACTTAGAACAAGAGCTCTGCCCTGAAGGTGTCCCAGACACCTGAAGCTGTTTAGCACAGCTATGATATCTGGGACTGCAAAGAAACAGCCCAACCTTGGAAAGGAAATTCTTCTGAATTCTCAGGAGAGTCAAGCCTGGAACTGCTTCAGCATGGAAGGGGTATCCTGACTCTTTAGGAAAGTCAGGGTATCCTGACTCTTCATGAAAGTCCGGATATACCTGGTGTTTTGGGGTATGATCTCCCTGTCCGACACAGCAATCCTGCTCCTACCCTGGATAGCTGCAATCTCAGGCTCAGTGTTACCAGCTGTTTCTTTCTCATTCCACTATGGGAAGTCCCTGCAAGTTTCTTCTGTTCAGCTCCCCCTTGCCTGGTCCTCTATAAGACATCCCAGCAAAGTTCTTCTGTTCACCAGTCAAAAGGTCTTCACCCAAAACTCTTTTGAGAAAGAGGTTTACTTGGGAAGGAGGAGTCCAGGAGAATAACTGCCTCTACCACAGTGGAGAGAACAGCTCACAACTGACCGGGAAGGGTGGTTGATATAGAATGTCTAGGGGGCGGAGTCAACTGTGATTGGTTAGTTTATTTTCTGCCCTAGGATTGGCCGGTATTGTGAGCAAGGGGCTGAGATGGTCCTGAGTTCAGGGCCAAACTGTGTTTCTTTCACTGTCCTTTCTTGGCTTTTTGACACTACCTCTAAGGCCAGGGCACATTTCTTTCACTGACTCTGATTCTATGGGTCAAGACTGTTATTTTGGTACTAGTTTTGGAGTCAGGGCATATTTCCTGGGTTCTGGGTTTGGAGATAAAATGTTCATTTCTCTGGCTCAGGTCACAAACACAGGCTGTGTTTCTTTCTCTGGTCCTGGACCCTAGGGCCAGGATTCTAATGTCCTGCTCTGTGATTGGTTGATTTCACAAGTCAGTTGGACAGGGCCAGAGATGGCTCTGATCTGAGATAAACTGTGTTTCTCTCACTGGCCTTACTTAGCTTTATGATGTTACCTCTAAGGCAGGGCACATTTCATTCACTCACTCTGATTCTAGGGGCCAAGAGCATTTCTTTGATACTGGTTTCACAGTTAGGGCATGTTTCCTTGGTTCATTTCTCTGGCTCAGGTCCTAAACACAGGCTGTGTTTCTTTCTATGGTCCAGGGGCCTAGGGCAGGATTCTAATGTCCTGCTCTGTGATTGGTTGATTTCACAAGTCAGTTGACAAGGGGAAAAATGGCTGTGATCTAGATAAACTGTGTTTCTCTCACAGCTTTATCTGAGCCATCCTTCCCTAATTCTATGCTCCAGGGTCAGGGTGGGGTTTTCTAGCCAGCCCCTTTTACCTACATTAGGTGTGTGAATCAAAACCAGGTCCTCTGCCAGAGCAAAAAGTGATATACACTGCTGAGTCATCTTTCAAAACCACATAAAGAATACGTTTGTTATGCACATGACCATAAGCATAGGCCAAGATATCATTAGTACAAATTATTAGCCAGCCTCAGGGTGTTTGCTAACTTCCTGGACCCTAGGCCTCATCAGCCTGCCAGTCTGACATATTGAAATGCAAAGAACTTATAGGCAGGAAGAAAATGATTAGGAAGCTGGGCATGTTGGTACACTCCTCTAATCCCTGCACTTATGATGCGGAGGCAAACTGGTCTCTGTGAGTTCATGGACACCCCGTCTCAATTTTTTGGTGCATGGTGGAAGGCAAGAAACATGTGTGCCACAGCAGAAGTGTGAAGGTCCAAGGATAATTTATAGGAGTCGATTCTCTCCTCTCACCATCTCAGGGATCTTATTGGAGTTGTCAGTCATGCTGGCAAGTGCCTTTATCAGATTAGCCCTCTGATGTATGCATTGACTGAAAGTATATTAACATTAATATACACACACATACACACACACACATGACCACACACCAAAAAGAAAACAAACAAAAAATATTGAAACCAAACACAAACACTCTAGTGCCAGCAGTTCACTGTGCTTGCAGGCATAATGACCTGGGATCCATCCCAGAAAACACATTGGCCAGCAAACTGCTTGACTACAACCCACATGTTGAATCATAACCCAGGGAAAGATCATTCAACATCATCCCCATTGGACTTCCACCAATGACACTCAGATCCACCTATCATATGCCAAAGCTCAAGATGTCTCATTGAAACTGTTCTGATTAAAATGCTTTTGTCCAAGTCTGTTTTAATATTGGTATACATAGTTTAAAGGAACACAGGTCAGCCTATTTTGTTTCAAAAGAGAGTTTCTTTAGAAAAGCAAACAAGTAAAGGTTTGGGGCCCACACAAACTTCACATACACAACAAACAAAAGAATTAATTTCCAAAACCAAGAAAGTTCATTGTCTACCTTTCAATTGCAGAATAGCAAAAAACAGCTTTTCTTTGGTAGTGAGATCACCACTTTAAAGATGAAAAGTGCAATGGAACTGTGTTCTCTTGATGAGGTAATAACATATCTGCAGAGAAAAAATATATATAAACTAGTAATTCCCACTAATTTGAAATGTAACGTATTTGCTTGTGAGAGGAACGATGTCTCTGTGTTCCTATGTCTGCAGTATTGCAAATAGTGTCAGAGAAGAGGAACCCAGCCTGGCTCATTCCTTCACCTCCTTCATATCCTCACTTCTGGGAACACACAATATAATCACCCTGTAAGGCACTAGTTCTCAACCTTCCTCAGCCAGGGACCATCTGATGCACTTCCTCATGTCGTGACCCTGCACATAAAATTATTTTCCTTGCTACTTCATAACTGTAACAAAACAGTGTTATGAATTATAAGTTAATATCTATATTTTCAGAAGGTTTTGGTGACCTCTGTGAGAGACAGTCCTAGGATTCCCAAATGGGTCTCTACCCACAGGTTGAGAATCACTGTTTTCATAGGTATGTGATAGTAAATTAGACAATGGAGACAAAAATCAGAGAGTGAGCTATGTTCATCAGAGAGACAAGAACACATACAATGCAGAGAATAAATATTAGAGAATCGTGCAGTAGCTAATGTCAACAGGAATGTACCCAACATACTTGTATGTCTTCAGTTGATTATTTTAGGTGTGGAAGTGTTTTGCATGCATTATTTCTGTGTACCTTGTGTGTGGCCTTCCCACAGACATCCAAGAGGGCTTTGGATCCTCTGGAACTGCAGTTCCAGATGCTTGTCAGCCAATATGTGTGTCCTGTGAATCAAACCCAGGGTCTCTGCCAGAGCAAAAAGTGGTATACACTGCTGAGTCATCTTTCCAGACTCAAGAATGAATATGTTTGTTATACACAGGATCATAAGCATAGGCCAAGGTATTATTAGTACAAGTTACTAGCCAGCCTCAGGGTGTTTACTAACTTCAGGGACCCTAGGCCTAATCAGCCTGCCAGTTTGACACATTGAAATGCAGAGAACTATAGGCAGGAAGGACATGAAGAAGAGCCTGGGCATGTTGGTACACTCCTCTAATCCCTGCACTTATGATGCGGAGGCAAACTGGTCTCTGTGAGTTCAAGGACACCCTGGTCTCAATTTATTTGGTGCATGGAGGAAGGCAAGAAACATGTGTGCTACAGCAGAAGTGTGGAGGTCCAAGGATAATTTATAGGAGTCGGTTCTCTCCTCTCACCATTTCAGTCTCAGGGTTCAAATTGGACTTGTCATCATGCAGGCAAGTGCCATTATCAGATTAGCCCTCTCAGTGGCCCTGCAATGTATGCTTTGACTGTAAATATATTAGCATTAATATAAACACATACTTGCCCACACACCAAAATAGAAAACAAGCAAACAAAAATGAAACCACACAAACACTCCAGTGCCAGCAGATCACTCTGCTTGTAGCCATAATGACCTGAGATCCTCCCCAGAAAACACAATTGCAGGCAAACTGCTTGACTACAACCCACGTGTTGAAGCTAAACCCAGGGAAAGATCATTTAACATTGTCCGCATTGTACTTCCAGCAATGAAACTCAGATCCACCTATCACATGTCAAAACTCAAGCAAACTCAATGAAACTGAGTAAAACACTTTTCTCCTGCTCTGTTTTTAATCTTGGTATACATAGTTTAAAGGAACACAGCACAGCCTATTTTGTTTCAGAAGTCGGTTTCATTTGAAAATCAAGTAAATAAAGGTTTGGGGGCTCACACACACTTCACATACACACCAAATAAAAGAGTTAATTTCCAAAACTGAGAAATTTCATCCTCTACCTTTCAATTGCAGAAAAGCAAGAAACAGCTTTTCTCAGGTAGTGAGATCTCCATTTTAAAGAAGATCAAAAGTGCAATGGACCTGTCTTCTCTTGAGGAAGTAATAACTGATAGCTACAAAGAAAAAAAAAAAATATATATATATATATATATATATATATTTACTGCTAATTCCCACTAATTTGAAAAGTAACATATTTCCTTGTAAGAGGAGCAATGCTGCTCTGTTCCTGTGTCTACAGTATTTCACATAGTGTCATAGAAGAGGACCCCAGCCTGGAATATTCCTTCACCTCCTTCATACCCTCCCTTCTGGGAACACACAAGGTAATCACCTTCTAAAGCACTAATTTGCAACTTCCTAATGCTGTGACCATCTGATGCACTTTCTCATGTTGTGGTGACCCTCCACATAAAATTATTTTCCTTGCTACTTCATAACTGTTATTATCCGTGTTATGAATCATATTGACAGTATGTGTGTATTCAAACGTCTCCGGTGACCTTTCTGAAGGTGAGTCCTATGATTCCCAAATGGGTCACTACCCTCAGGTTGACAACCACTGTCTCAATGTGTATGTGATATTATATTAGGCCTTTATCAGCTTAGCTCTCTCACTTATACTTTCACTGAAAATATTTTACACTAATACACACAAGAAAAAATACACACTCACTTCATCACCTGCTGTGTACTTCCCTTGCTAGCCTAAGTACCTTGGTTCCCATCCATAACTAACTGCAAGCATCTCACGTACACAATCCCAGCACACCTTTATCCATATAGGAGGCTGAAAGTAGAACAACTGTGAATCCTATAAGCCAGCCAGAGTGTAACACACAATCAGCAGAAACAGTAAAAGACCCTGTCTCACCTAATAAAGGAAAGAATCCCTCCTGTAGGGTTATACTTTGGCCTTCACATATGTACACACACACATGCACACACACACACACACACACACACACACACACACACACACACACTAGTATTGCACAAACAAGCATAGAACTGCATGCACACAAGCCTGCACACACGACATTGGTAAATTAGAATCATGTGAAATTATCTACTGTGATGAATAAATGGTCCATACACACTCATTAGTACTCCTGTTGTAAAACTAACACTTCAGGAAAATATCTTTAGGGTCTTCTCACTCATTTTCAGTGTTTCTGTATTTCTTGTGGCATGTGTCCAGGAAAACTATCCATGGACCATGTGGCCTATGCATTCCCTTTTTATAACTGGCTTAAGTATACTTAGTTAATGAGGAAGAAGCAATGAGTGAAACATG